TTGACCGTGAACTGACGACGAACCGTTGCATATCAGATTGTTTNGATTGGAGTGATCAACCTAGTGGTATCATGTCTGTTCCTTGTCGAGACCAAAGGCGTGAATCTCGACAAAGTGGATATCAATGATACGGCGACACCCGAACAAGAACTGAAGAATATGATCGCGAAAGATGGCGAAGTCAAGGCATAATCATTAATCACTCAAACTGAATATTAAATCACGAATGATCTACTTATTTACAAATTATATACGCATTATTGATGAATATTACCAAATGTTACTTTTTAGCAATACTTTTGTTGTGAACAATCTTGTTGGATGTAAATCACTGGATAATTATAGCAGTTACGGCATGATGATGTTCACATAACTCATTCACAAATAATACATACTTAATAAATACAATTCATTGAATTCTTATTGAATTATCGTGAACTGACGACGAACCGTTGCATATCAGATTGTTTCTGTGGAACGATCCGATACACCCGTGTACATTACTGTTAATGGCACCACATATTGATGAAATACGAATAAAGTTACATCACAACAATTGCTCAATGATCAGAACATTAACATGATATTACATGATCAACTACCTAATGCATAATATTTGTTGGCTCAGAACATATTCGAACTCAAACATACCGATAGCCAAATCACGACAATTGCTAGAAATTATAAATACATTGAGCGCAATACGAATTCTGACGAATCCTTTTGTATAGGAAGCAAACCTGACCCATCTATCATCTTAAAGCTCGCTGAATCACTACAGGTGAACCGATGGAGCAATGCAGAGATGCACCATGCAGATAATTCCATCAAAAACTCACACTCTCATACCAATATTCATCTGCCATACTATCGGAAAACGTATTCTATCAAAAACAACAGCATTTACGAAAAATCAAGCACAGCCGTTCTACCATTGTAACGGCTTCCGAACTTTCTAACTTTGAAGCATGCGTGAAAAACTGGAGTAAAGCTTTCAGCCAAGCCATTAAAATACTTCAGAAATGTCCTAATTCGTCAATAACACAACGCTTGAATGCAGACCAACCGGTT